CCCGTGTCCCCTGCATCGGCAGGCAGACTCTCAACCACTGCGCCACCAGGGAAGCCCTCCTTTGGAGACTTTGATTCATGGGACTGCCATGTGCAAGAGTGAGCCCGGCTCGGGGATTGCTAGCCACCCACAGAGTTCTTGACAAACCAAAAAAGCACCCAAATATCAAGTTGCTTTGGTGCCTTCATATTCAAGTGATGGTTCCTACACCCAGTTTGGCTATTTTATAAAGGGGAGTGGGAAAACCGGGTGATATTTAATGCCTGTATAAATGAAGAAATTGGACCTGTGCAGGTTGCAGTTTATGGACTGTCACCAGACATTTCCTTAATTTTCCACAAATTATAAATTTTTGCAATTTATTTTTAACGATTTGTGAAGTCTCATTTCCCAAACATTTGGACACTATCAACAACTTAAACGTTAATCAGAGGAAATGTGATTGCCTTCATTTTCAGCAATAATGAATCGCTCTGACGATTCATGACACGTTTGGGAGCTGTGAGGTAGGTTTGCAGTAGAGGCTGAGGTATTTCTGTGGGGAAGTCAGCTGGTTTTGGCCTTAATGGTTGTGCTGTTGATTTTGGTTTTTGCTTTTTAAGCAGCAGGATCAGGTCAGAGAGTCAAGTTTTTGTTCTTAGGCTGTCTTCAGAACACTCTCATTTCCCTCCTGTTTGTGTTTGAAGGGGGGATACAGCCCATGCAGCACAGGCGTGGGTCGCTGTGGTGAGAAAGGGGGATGCCCTGGATCTTGCTGAATCTCTTCGCTCTTTCGGTGACCTGCCAACTGCCTTTGTCCCTGAGTCTTTGGGTGGATGTGTCAGACACATTTTATTTTCCTGATAATTTAGCATTAAAAGTATTAGATTCTGAAGCCTTAGGACTTCCAGCGAGTTATATGGTATATTATTTCAGTCAGACTGTTTTTTATCCTGAATAGCTCTCACCTAGCAGAACCCCAATTCAGATACCACACGTAGGTATCGTGTTCCTGTCTTTTGAGATGATGGGACACGTGTCTTGATCTAAAGTTTTGTACCAGTCAGAAATATAGCCTGGGGAATTCCCTGGTGGTCCAGCGGTTAGGACTCCACACTTTCACTGCCGAGGGTCTGGGTTCAGTCTCTGGTCGAGGAACTAAGATCCCACAAGCTGTGGGGCGCAGCCAAAAAAATAAAGAAAAAAAAAGAAATACAGCCTGGATGATAAAATCTGTCATTTGCACCGATGAATAACTGTCAATGAGTGTTTACTTTTAGAAGTTTATTGCAAATTGAGAACTGACTGCATTTTGTATAATCTGTCCCTTTCTGCACCAGAATGCAGTAAGTATGAACTGTTTGCAGTGCCGGCCTGTTGCATGCTCCTGTGTTAATAGCTTCTCCAACTGTGTGAAGTTTGCAGTAAATGACCATTGATTAACTGTGTGTGGATATGAAATATAGAATTCATATAAGAACTTATAAAAATTGAGGGGAAATTTACTTTAGCTCAGACTTACTCCTTAGGTTGTGTTGTAATTGTGAAGCTTTGCCTCTGGTTTCTAATCTGCTTGTGTGTATTTCATAGTCCCGTTCTGGAAGCGTACCTCCAGCTATTCACAGCCATATACTGTGTCAGAGACACCAGTTGTTCTCCCCTCCCTTCTCCTCATTAGTTGCCATTTGAAAATTTAGCATAATTTTGTCTAAATAGCTCCATAGGCACAGCCCTATTAAATAGCAGAAAGGATTTACTCCATGAATTTGTTTTCTAAAAAAAACCAAAGATCTCCTATAAGTCACTAAAATTTTAATTTTATTTATAAGTTTTAATTTGGGGTAGTAGCACTATATAGGGATATATTTTACCAAACTGAGAAAGCCAGACTTCCTCATAAAGAAATGGCCTTATACTGATTATAAGGCATCTACATCAGACTGACTTCAGCCTCTGGTCAAAATTGTTAAGCTCTGAGGATTGGAACACATGGTTTTTAAAACATAACATGAAAATGGGGACTGGGGAATGACCTTTGTGTCCAGGACTATATTTGTTGAACGTTTTGGTGATAAATGTGTGCCTTTTAAGTAAGAACCTTCAGGATTTAAAACAAAGAAAGAAACTTTTATCTTCGACTACATTTAACATTAAAAGATTAGTCACCGATAATGTATTTTATGTGTCATTTATGGTTTTGAGTTTAAAATTTCCCCGGATTAATTAGTTCACTAGTGATTAGAAATCCTCAGCCACCTTCCAGGAAGGCGTGTGGTGAGATGCTGCATCCTAGGTATCCTTTTACAATTTGTCCTGGTTGCACCAAACTTGATTTTGAAAGATCAACTTTCAAAAAAGTCTTTGACTTTTGATTTCATCATTTATGGAAAGATTTGAAGGCAGCTGCTCTGTATTCACAGGGAGTGGCGAGCTTCTGCCGTTACAGGTGAACCCTCATGGCCAGTTAGGCCAGGACTGGCCACCTCAGTGGGAAAAGAGTCTGGTTTATCAGTGGTGGGGTCACCATCTCTCACTCCCACTGCCACACCATCTCCTCTCTCTGCAGAGAGGGGGATAGGGGTGAAAATAACAACTTTTATTGCTAGATCTACCTCTTTTTGGATGGTGTGGTTCTTGGTGAAGTATATTCATCCAATAGACCTGCATTTGTGCCCTCAATATGTACAGCAATACGTTAAGCCCTGCAGATCGTTCAGAAATGATGTAGGCATGGATCTTCACAGGCAATAACTCTGATATGGAGAAGACACTGCTGAGAATCATAAGAGTGATAAATGTGTGACCCTTCTGAGAGGAGAGAGTTTCTAGCTAGATGATTTTGATGTGCTGATTCCCTTGAGTCTGTATTTTGTGGGCACTTCATTCATTTAGTCAGCCAGTACATGCTGAGTGCTTGCTAGGTGCAAGGTGCTGCAGGCATGGGCTTCCATTGGTGAACAAGAGATGTATGGTCAACCCTTGCCCTTAAGAAATGTACAATCTAGAGAGACAGATAAATATGACACTAATCAATACATGTGAATGCACATGTACACGCATGTATACACATAGCATGATTTTTCAAAAGTGCTGGTATGTAAGTGTCAGAATGAGGGATCTGACCCTGGGTAGGGGAGTAAGAGGTCAGGTCAGAAAGACTTTCTTGAGCTCCAGAGTTGAGAATGGAAGATTGAGAACTTGGGTGACAGAGATGATGAATCTCACTGTTTCTTTGCTGATCCTCTAGGGGGAAATGTATTTCTTTCTCATTTTTTTTACCATGTTTGTGGGCTGCTTATTTGTCAACTAAAATTCTTCATTCTCCAAATAGTGTGTAACTTGTATATCCTTCATTCATTCACTTGACTCATGAATCGTTTCTTGGATGCCTGTGATGTGCCAGCCTCTGGCTGTGTGCTGGGCCGCAGTTAAGTCTGCAAGACCGTGTGTGGCGTTTCTTGTGGAGTGAGATGTTAGAGTGGCATTGTCATGGGAGTGCCAGTTGCTTGCTTTATAAGGCTGTCTTCATTTTTCTCCATATAGGACAACAGCTTTGAGCAGTTCATTATTAATTATTGTAATGAAAAGCTGCAACAAATCTTCATTGAGTTGACTCTTAAAGAAGAGCAGGAGGAATATATACGGGAGGTAATATTGAAAAAAAATTTTAAGTATTCCTTTGCTCATAATACAAATTCTGGATTCAGAAGACTGTACAAACATGACCCTAAAATCAGATTTTTCAAAGTTTAGCCATATTGTACCTTTTAAAAATTTGTTTGGTATGACATCTAAGCTAACTGGGATTTTCTTTGCTGCTAGTGCCCAGGACAGTGCTCAGCACATAGTAGGTGCTCAGTGAACATCAGCTGACCAACTTGAGTCTCACTGGATTCAAGTACAGTGAAGTAAAATAATACCCTGTTAAAAAACTAGTCTGAGATGAATGGGCAGAAAAACAGCGGTGCATCCATACAAGGTTCTAGTACTCAGCAATAAGAAGGAACAAACAGCTGATACACACAATAGCATGAAGGAATCTCAGATGCATTTTGCTAAATGAAAGAAGCCAGACTCAAAAGGCTACATATGTATGAGTCAATTTATATGTCATTCTACAAAAGTCAAAGCTATAGAGTCAAAGTGTCTAATAGTCAGTAGTGGCCAGAGAATAGGAGTGTGACTGCAAAGGGGGAGCACAAGGGAATTTTGGAGGCTGGCTGTGGTGGTGGTTACCTGATGCTACGCATTTGCCGAAACCTAAGAGAACTGCATACCAAAGAAGTCAATTATCATCATATATAAATTTGAAAATACTATTTCAGTATTTAACAGTATTTTAATATTTTGTTCAATCTTGAAAAGCATTGATTTTTAAAAATTTTATAATAAAAACAGGTAACATTTGTTGAGTGCTTACTATATGCCAGGTATTATACTAGTGCTGTGGATGGATTATCTCACTGAATGTCGTTGGAAAATAATCAGAAGTAATATTTACAGAGTCCTTTCATCCTTAATTGTAAAACACGTACTTGGTTTTCACCCTTTCATTTTTTAAATAGCCAGTGTTTTTCTAAGTATAAATTTATTTATATCAGACAAAAAGGAGAATTTTTTTTGTATATATAGTATTATATTTTTGTTTCCCTTTCATTTATTTGCTTTAATATTTTAGTAATATTACTTCCTTCTCTTCATTTTCTATAGTGTCATTTTAAGTCATTAAGGACACAGAATCCTCTTTTTTTGGCTTCTCAGTATAGATTTTTCTAATGTGATTATTATTCCCAGTGACTTAGTAAAATAACTCATCTACTCAAAAACTAAATCATGAATATTTCATCTTTCATTTGAAATGATTATCATGCTTTAGAAACATTTTATACTTGAATGGCACCTTTTGTAACATAAACATCCTAAAAGCCAGATTCATTCTCTTCCTGTCTTATCATCATAAAGAGAATGCGCAAACTTTGATCTGTAACTTAAAACAGTTTGTACAGATTGTCTAAAACACTTCTAAGAGTATATAGGAAGATCCTTAGTTTGCTGTATGGATTAACTTTCTTCCCCTTAGAAGAAAAATAAATGTTTACACTTATGGAGAGTGTAAGCAGATACAGAATGGTTACATTTGGCCTCCCAGATTCGGCTTTGTAGCTAGTGTTAGAACCAGTGGATAGGTTTTCATGTCTTTCCTTATGTTGAAAATACTTATCTTAGCACTGTTCTATTTTTACATTTGAAATAGTTAACGGCCCTACAATATGGGGTTGACTCTTAAAATTAATTTCTTCCTTGTGATTACAAATTAAGAACATAAAAATCTGGGGATCAAGTTCTGACTTATTTCCTTGTAAACATGTAAATATACGAAAAGTAATATTGACCCAAGGGCCTGTTGAATAAATGACCCGGGGCCAGCGAAGTGCATGGGAAATTGCCACAGATGGGAGGGTGGTAGGGGAGGCAGCCTCAGCACAGGTCAAGGGCGGTTGTTTCAGTCGGATCATGTCAGTGCTAGACTGCTGCATTATGAAAGTTTTGGGAACCGGAAGATGACATTTGCAGCACTGATTTTTATGAAGGAAATTTTCAGAGAGGAAGTGGAATATAGTAAGATGGGCAAAGTCTTATGTTAGAGATGGTAGTGTTGTAGCATCATCATATGGGATTTGATTATGTTCTGTTTTCTTTTTCAGGACATAGAATGGACTCACATTGAGTACTTCAATAATGCTATCATTTGTGACCTAATAGAAAATGTGAGTATTAGGTACAGTTTCCCAAAGAAGTTCTTGGTAGTGTAATTCACTACTTACGAACGATCTCACTGCCTTCAGTGTTCAGCTTTTGTATTTTCACTATTTCAACACTTCAGAGAAATACAGAGTTCTGGAAACTTTATCATAACCTTAAGAACTCACACATGGTTCTCGAACACATACGTAGACAGCTGGACTTTTTGATACTTAGCCAGGTTCCCCCATGCTAATCCTGTTGCCGTATCACAGAGCCCATTCATGACGCTCAGATGCCGTGCCCTTAGGTGCACTATTCTTTCTTGTGTGCTGGGAACCCAGGTCCAATCCACAGCTCGTGGAAATATGAGCACTGATCAGAGGAGACTCAAAAAAAGAAGGTGTTTGCCAAGTCAAAATATCCATTTCATTTCTAAAATTCTAACGACCTCTTAACATAGTATTCAGTGCTTACTATCAAAAAGATAATTGTTCGTGAGGATGTGGGGAAATATGGTAACCCTTGTGTACTGATGGTAGGAATGTAAATTGGTGCAATCGCTATAGAAATCGGTATAGAAAAAAAAAGAAAACAGTATAGAGGAGGTTCCTATAAAAAATTAAAATTAGATCTGTTATGTGACCCAACAATCCCACTCCTGGGTATATATCCAAAAGAAACAGAATCAGGATCTCAAAGAGATATCTTCACTCCCACGTTCACTGCAGCTTTATTCACAATAACCAAGATAGGGAAACCACCTAAGCGTCCGTCTACAGATGAATGGATAAAGAAGATGTGATGTATATATACAATGGAATATTGTTCAGCCATGAGAAGGAAGGAAATCCTGCCATTTGTGACAACAAAGATGGACTTTGAGGGCATTATGTTAAGTGAAATATGTCAGAGAAAGACAAATACTGTATGATATCACTTATATGTAGAATCTTAAAAAAAACAAACTCAGAAACAGAATAAAATGAATAGTGGTTGCCAGGGGCTAAAGTGTGGGGGAAATGGGGAGATGTAGGCCAAAGGGTACAAACTTCCACTTGAAAGATGAGTGAGTTCTGGGCTTTAATGTACAGTGTGGAGATTATAGTTAGCAATACTGTGTTATATATTATATACTTGAAAGTGGTTAAGAAGTAGGTCTTAAATGTTCTCACCACAAAAAAGAAATGGTAATTACGTGATGTGATAGAGGTGACTAACACTATGGTAGTGTATCAAATCCACATGTTGTATACCTTAAACTTGCACAGTATTTTATGTCAATTATATCTCAGTAAAGCTGGAAAAATTTTCTTAAAAAGTAACAACGACAACAAAACTCCATGCTGTTCAAGTAAAAATAAAGGAGGATAAAGGGACCATCTCAGGAGCCAAGTTAAGTAGGATCCCAGGAGTGGCTTGTATGGACCATAGATTGCTTCAGGGATGTGAGAGATGGTGTGTGTGTGACTTGACAGGTACCAAGGGCCGTGGGATTTTTCAGGTTACAAATTATGTACGTGAAAAGGCTTAAAGTGTGAAAAATTACTGCATAATTTTTAGTAACCTTTCTGAACCTAAGATTTTTGTTTTTACATCATATTTATCATGTAGTTTATCATGAGCGAATTGATTGCAAGAAGACTGATTTGTGTGTAAAAGCTTAGTCTTACTAAGTCTTCCTGGCCTTAATAACAAAGTAGTTTGAAACAATGCATAAACTTTATTTTCTACAGTCTTTTTAGCTATCAGTGTAGGTGAGTGCTATGCTTCAGCAATAGAATCACAGGCTCCAAATGTCCAGCAAATCATTTTCTCTTCATCTTTAACAAGACGTTTTGGATATTATTAATTAGCCAGTATCTTATCCCTCAGTATTCAAGATATTCTTGAAAGCCACATCTTTGATTAAATTGAACTTTTAAAAAAATATTCTGAAGCATTACTATTTTTCAATTAAAAAATAAACTTTGTTTTGAAAAATGTAAACAGTGTTGGATTGTGAACACTAATATTCCACCTAAGCAATTTAAAACTCTAGTCTAAAATTTAGAAGATCAGTGGATTTCATGAAAATTTTTTCTGGTAAATTTTGTGACCAAAGTAGTTTGCTGGGGAGGTTTTAACTTTCAGAAGTCGTGACTATCATGTTTTTCTTCGTAAAGGTAACATTGCACTTAATTATTTACCTTTAAGAAGGGAGAAAAAAAAAAAAACAGTGGTAATACACTTAATTTAACTAGATTATCTCAGCCAAAAATCCCCTTGCATATATGATTGAAGAAACTCATGTTCACGTAGGAGCCTGGATACATAAAGGAAATGTTTCCTTCCAGTATCGCCTAACAATAATGTTTACTCCGGGGATGTTATGAACACACTTGACTCCTGAGAATCTACACTTCCCCCAGATTTTGTGTGGAATGAATAAGTGCTGGTCAGAGGATGTCATGGCCTTGTAAGGAGAAGGGGAGAGGAGCCAAGGGGGACTTTGCCCTGGCGGAAGCGGGTGGGGCTCATGGTCAGTGGATTGTTCTCTGTGGAATGGAGATGTGTGGGCCTGTAGGGGCAATCAAAGGAACAACAGCCTTTATTAAGCAAAGTAGAAGTTTCCTGATTTTTGATTCACTTTAGCTGGGCTGACTGCTCTTGGGGTAAATATGATCACAGGGTCTGAATACCCAACAAACGAATTCTCACCCATGTTTAACATCCATTTCGAAATTTTATATGGAAGGAGAATTTTATTCTAAACAGATATTCTTGAAACACAGCTTGATTGCATTGATCGTTAAAAGCAGCCTCCCGAATCACACCACTTTTTTTCCCCAAGAAAATAAACTTTATTTTGAACACAGGAACAGTTTGGAAACATCTGAAACCAATTTCCTTCTCAAGCTGTGAGTCAAATAATGGCCTTAAGAGACTATGCTTTGTGATTTATGACCACGTTATATAAGGAGAGAGTATTGTCACATTAGTTTCTGACTTTTAGATTTGTTTATGAATCTTTGAGGTCTGACTTGCCTTTTGCTAAACAACATGAATTTCAGTTATCAACCCGATAAGGTGGCTGAGGTGACACCTAAGTCCTGTTTCGCCGTCGGGGAGGCATCGTGGGCTGCGGTGGAGCGGGGAGACTCATGCAGACACTCCCTCCCTCCGCACCCCCCAGAGCACCTGGGACCCCGCTGGAAGAGGGCTGATTTCTGTGGGGGGCGTTTTGTTACTTGTTTTGATTCTCTGCTCTTTGTTGTGCCTGAACGGAATTTTCTTGTGACTAAGTCGATTGTGTTTAATGGCATAATTAGGAATAATTATTAATACAGCGAGGAAGGAAGGAAACCCTTTTATCTCCTTTCACCCAGAACACAAACGGAATCCTGGCCATGCTGGATGAGGAGTGCCTGAGGCCAGGCACGGTCACCGACGAGACCTTCTTGGAAAAGCTGAACCAAGTGTGCGCCACCCACCAGCACTTTGAGAGCAGGATGAGCAAGTGTTCCCGGTTCCTCAACGACACGTCCCTGCCTCACAGCTGCTTCAGGATCCAGCATTACGCCGGCAAGGTGCGGGAGCCCGGGCCCCCGTGGAGGACCCCGAGCCTCAGCCTCAGAGATGGCGTTCTGACCAGCGCCAGCTCCAGAGGATAAATGGAGCTGCTGAAAGCATAGAGTCAGTAAATGTTCAGTGGGAATAGAATCTGGACCATGTTGAGCAAAATCTTACTAATACTGAGAGCTGAAAGGAAAGCCAGTGGACTTAATGAAAGAGTTCAAGTATATATTAAAAATCGATTTTATTATTTTCAGGCTCTGAAAGCTAGCCTATAAAAAAGATCTATCGACACTGATAAAAGATTTGCCAGTAAAAAATTAGCATTCACTAAAGACTTACAGTAACACCATTGTAAAGCAATTATACTCCAATAAAGATGTTAAAAAAAAAAAAGACTTACAGTAAGGTTTTAAAAGCACCAACCATTTAGCAAAATAATGAATTCTCAGATTGAATTTTGAATCGACACTGGAGAAAACATCTACTTTTTTTAAAAAAAAGCATTTATTAATTTGGTTAGTATTTGGGGTAATTAATTTTATGTCATCAACTATATAAAGATAATATTAAAAACAATTGGGACAATAGATTGATTTTGGGGGTCCTGAATGATTATTGATTGGAGTTAATACCTCCTTTCTTACAAATAAGCTTGCAAACTTCAAAGGGAAAAAAATCTGATTATGGCTTTAGTAAAAATGAAGTATAGTAGCTTTTCCTTTAATTTCAAAATGCTGGAACTTGGTACTTCATTTTTTTTCACTAGCCCATGTTATTAAAAGATACTTTCCTGGTCAGTTTCTCTGCTGGTTTAGGATGTCTATGAAAATATCTGTGTTATCTCAATTTCCCCCTGTCTCCTTTTAAACACACTAGAATTGGCACATGTAAACTAAAAAATACAAGTAAAACCTCAAAAATATGCTTGAACACCAAAAAAACCCTAAAATCCTTTGAAAATGTTATAATAACATTTTTGGAGTTTATTCTTGCAAATCCTGAAGGGTAATAGAATTTATTTTGAACTCTTCTGTGACTTAGACAGATGGAATTTAAACTTGGAGGCTAATTTGGTATTAGAGTGTGACTAACTTGTTGGAGATTCTTTGATGGAGAAAGAAGAGGCTGTGGTATAGATAGTCTCGGGATATTTTTAACAGTTGTTTGATGTTCTGGCGTGCAGTTTGTCAGCCACTGAGTCCCATGTGCTGCTGCTCATAGGTGCTGTACCAAGTGGAAGGATTTGTGGATAAGAACAACGACCTTCTCTATAGAGACCTGTCCCAAGCCATGTGGAAGGCCGGCCATGCCCTCATCAAGTCTTTGTTCCCCGAAGGGAACCCTGCCAAGATCAACCTAAAAAGGCCTCCTACAGCCGGCTCACAGTTCAAGGCATCGGTGGCCACTCTGATGAAAAACCTACAGACCAAGAATCCAAACTACATTAGGTATTTCTGGCACATAAAATTCTTTGACCATTCGATTATGAAGGCACTCTCAAGGAAGATCATTTTACCTGTTTGCTTAAATCTGAGCGTAACCCAAGGAGAGGATAACTAAAGTACTTAGGGGTCAAATAATACGGTGTCTTGGGTTTGCTTAAAAAATACTCCAGTGGCCTCAAAATAGGGAATTTTAAAAAGGGAAAAGAAAAAATTGTGGCGGGGGATGGGAATAGATACTTAATGAAATTGGGTTGTTGGCACATAGGAGTTCTCAACTTTCTGGGTTTTTTGGGGTTTTTTTTAATGACAAGTTAAGAAACAAAATGTAAATTTTTTTCTGGTAAGCGTTTTGCATAAACTGTTTTGGTGGATTCATTTTGGATTGTCATATTGACTTGGAGCATTGAAGCAACTGGGGCTTCAGTTGCAGGTCTGGTGTGAGGAAGTATGTGCCTCTTTCTTCCCTGTGAGAGTTATAGACCCAGAGAAAGTAATGATTTCTGAAACAATCTAAATAATTTTTTCAAAACAATAGAAAGAACTCCTTAAAAAGCATCTGGTCTCTCTCTTTTTTTTTTTTTTTTTTTTTGCTTCTAGGGCATCTTAGTTCTCAAAATTCAGTAAAGACCAACTAGGATTAGAGTTTGTGATGTGTATATTTGGTGAACTAGGTAATAGAAGGTGTGTATCTGATGGGTCAGATTTCATGTGGCAGGTGCACACCCACATATACCTTCTACAGTTGTCTTTGAAAATTCAGTTATGAGGAAGTTAGAGTGAAGAACATTTTTGTGTTTAACTTGTTGACCTAGTATTTATATTCATAACAAATGTAAATAGGTAAAATCCCCTGGTTTGATTGCAAACAGGTTAGAACATATATTAGGTTAAGGATCCTAGTTTCAAAAAAAATTAACCAAGAAACTTTGTGTGATCAGTTGCTTTTGTTATTCTCATTTGAGTAAACTTTTTTTTTTTAACCTTAAGATTCTATTTTACTGAGGTATAATTTGCATGGAGTGATATGTACAGATCCTAGGTGAATGGCTCCATTGTTTTTTCGCCATTGTATACACTTTGGTAACCACCACTCAGGTCAAAACATGGAACATTCCCGTCACCCCAGAAAGTTCCTTTATTCCCCTTCCCTTTCAGTGGTTTTAATGTATCTCTAAGAAGTCTTAATTAATAAACTCCAAAGTTGTGAATATATTATTATATATATATTTTTAGAGTCTTTACAGTTTCAGATTTATTTTAAGGTCTATTTTTTCCATATATTTATCCTGTTGTTTTGGCACTACATATTGAAAAGAAAAAAAATCTCCATTTTCATTCATTTGCCCTGATGCCTTTATCGAAAATCAATTGAATGTATGTGTAGGAGTCTAGATCCAAACTCACTAGTTTGTTCCATTGATCTGTTTGTCCTTAAGCCAAGAAGTAGACCTTACTTTTCTAAATGTAAAAGAAAAACCATAAAAACACCAAGGTCAAACTAGGTAAGATTTAGTTGTCCATGTATTACATGTATGTGTGGAATTTGACAGTTGAAGTGAGGCAGACATAACCGTAAATGTTTAACAATATATTAATTAGGATATAGAGATTGCTCCAACAAGATCTGGAAATAATAGGGGCTTAAACAAGATTGACAGTTATTTCTCATGTACTTCTAAGTGTATAGACTCCAGTGCTAATAGAGCAACGCCTTCTATGTTGTGGCTCTGCAGTTGCCAGGGTATTTCCTCTTATCTATGTAGTCAAAGATAGCTCTCCACCATGTCAACATTCCTGCCAGCATTTAGCAGAAGAGCAAAGGGAGAACAAGTCCCTTCCTTCTAAGGACACACTGGAAATAGCAAACATGACTTATGCTCTGGCTAGAATTTTGATCACATAGCCACACCTACTTGCAAAGGAAGCTGGGAAATGTAGTCTTTCCTTGGGCAGCAAAGTGCCCTATTGAAAAGGAGGGAGATAATAAGGATTTAGCGAGACAGCAGTGTTTTAACCTTTTCATTGAGGTATGTAATGTATGTACAATACAATAGAGTATATAAATCTTAATTGTACAGGTTGTTGAATTTTTACCTATGTATACACCTGTATAGCCTCATCCAAGCCAAGATATAAAACAAGTCTATCAACCCAGAAGGTTCCCTTGTGCCCTTTCCCTGTCGATCTCCACCTACCTCTCCCCAGAGGTAAAGCAACACTGAGTTCTCACTAGGAATTAGTTTTTCTAGAACTTCATGTAAATGGAATCAAAATATGTACTCTTTTACATCAGACTTCTTTCATTAAACAGAATGTCAGTGATATTTACCCATGTTATTGTATGTATTATTCTTTTTTATTGCTATATCTGCAGTGTAGTTATCTTAAGGTTTTTGTAAAATGATTTGAAATAATTTCAAAAGAAATGACTAGTTTTTCCAAGAATAATAAATAATTGTCTCACCATGAAATAATTATATATGATGCTTTGTAAAACATGGACAGATAAATCCGTAAGAGAAGGAGTTTAAAACCTAAAATTTGTGTAATCTTTTAGGTGTATCAAACCGAATGATAAAAAGGCAGCACACATCTTCAACGAGGGTCTAGTATGTCATCAGGTCAGGTATCTGGGTCTTTTGGAGAATGTCCGCGTGAGGAGAGCAGGCTACGCCTTCAGGCAGGCCTATGAACCTTGCTTAGAAAGATACAAAATGCTTTGTAAACAAACATGGCCTCATTGGAAAGGACCAGCAAGGTAAGACATTCATTGATCATATTTAATTATGAAGTTCTAAAGCATACAGATACCATGTTGTTTTCTTCACGTGCTGTTTAGGCAAAACAATTTTATGAAAAGTTGGCTGTAACCTCTGTTTTGGACCATCTTCCAGCAGGATACCACTTTGTGCTAATTCTTATTAATTATAGAAGTCTTGGTTTTCTTTAAGGTTTAAACACGGCTTATCAAATCCACATTTGGAACTTGTATGTCAATAAAACTTCTAAACTATGTCGTGGCAAGTTAGCAGGAGGAGAATTTGTAATTGATAGGTATATTTGTGTAGACTCATACAAGGGTAGAGCTACAGGCATCTTGGATCACTGCTCTCAGCTCTTCAGGGGTTTATTTCTGGGGAATAAGTGAATTCCAGAGAGAGTGAATGAAGGGTGGGGGTCCCACTCTTTGACCAAGTCTGTACCAACCGAGAAATAGATACAGGAGCAGATAGGGTTCACAGTGTCAGTGTTATTGTGAACAAAGCTGGATTGGAGAATATGGCAGAACTTGGGGCCATGTGGCGTCCAGCTCATCTGCCCTAAATTGCACTCATCCATCCAGTCACAGACAGAGTGCTGGACCACTGCAGACTCATCCCATGGAGCAGCCCCTGTGAGCTCTACATGCAGAGAGAACTTGTGTGCTGGCAGGGGGGCTGCTGCAGAAGAGAAACCAGGCCTTGCCTGTGCAGTGACCTTTCTTCTGCTCTCACCAGTCCCAGAAGTTGCCCCTTTTCTGCAGGCCACAAAAGCTCTCCCAGCTCCTACAGCAGGGCAGACATGCCTGTTTTATGGGGATTTTTCTTTCACTATACTGGTGTTGACTCCACATTGTCACTGGACCTGGCCTTTCACAGGAAAATCAGTAGGATTAGACACTTCACTGTGTATTACAAGAAGATAAACTCCAGACATATGGTGTGGTCCCTGATGCATAATTCAATACCCAAATAATGTAGGGTCTGGGTACTATTTCATTTCCCACTGCTAATTTCCAGGGTATTATGGTCAGCATCTACTATAATACACAGAACAAGGATTCACTCCTAGCCTGGCATCCAGTCCACAGGTTGGTGGGACGAAGTTTAGTACTAAAGACTGACGTTAAATCCACGGTCCAGGATGGAGAGGTCAGAGTCAAGTCCAGGCCTTGCTCCCACCCTGTGTTCTTTTGCATCCCATTGGCCTGGCACTTAGCACTCTTGGGACCTGCCCACAATCTGAGTAGCAGGAGCAGTGTTTAAAATGTTTGCAAGAAGTAACTGAGTGGGTACAAAATAGATGTGAGTTTCTTGCATACCCTTCTGGCCCTGGTTGGTCCATTGTTACAAGTATATTTGATCACTTCTGCTAATGAAATCAAGAAATTGTCTTTAATACCATATTTTCTTAGAATACGTAGTTCTAAACCCAAAATGCTTTTTGAGCATTTACTAGATTTGGTTAAATTTGTGGAATTCACTCTGGAAATTCTTTGATGGAAGGATGCTTACTGAAAGATCATTTATACTTGGAATTGAAGGTATTTTTTTATACTGCTGAGAACCTAATATCATGTTTTAAGATAAGATAGCCTACTTTTGTAACTCAGAAAATTTGTTGTTTTTATTTATTTTTATAGAGCTGGCGTGGAGGTTTTGTTTAATGAATTGGAGATTCCTGTGGAAGAGTACTCCTTTGGTAGATCAAAGATATTCATTCGAAACCCAAGAACAGTATGTAATCGAAACGTTACACTCTGAATTTGTGTTATAATCATATGGGCAAATTCTTAAAGGATATTTAACTTTATAATGTTACCCAAGATGCTACCACGAATGTCACATTTTTGTGTTTTTCTGCAAATGTCCAAAGGGGTGGCTTAATAAGGGATAATGGAAGAACATTTGTATTTTTTATGAAACACCAAAACTTTTGAGCTGATAGATTGTACAGCATTTAAGAAATCATAAAGAAAATGGTATTACAATAAAACCTCCCTAACTCGTAAAAATTGGAGGTTACTTCAGTCTGTATTTGTAATATCTGAATTATACAGTAATTTTAGGAAAGACAGCCCTGCTATTCAGAGGTACACGAAGGCACCCACATTAAAAAATTTTTTAAGTTAAAAAGAACACTTAAAATTCTACTTAGTGAAGAACTCCATTGGAGCCTTTTTATAACTGAATAGACTAGCATGAGGTATAATTTACATAGCAGTTTACTGGAAATTTGGAGAATTAGGAAAGTGTTCAAATCGTCTGAGAGAGACCTTGCCGTCACCTCCCTTCCAATAATTTCATCTTCACAGATAGTGTGAAGGTACATCTAGAGCTCAGTTCAGCCCTTACATGATTCGTCATAAATTCTAAAGCACTGTACTCTAAATTGTGTATCTTGCGTGAATTCATCCCAATAGTTTTCTTCTGGACTACTATTCATAATATCTGTAATTAAGTTATTTTTGTTTTCCTCAATGTGGTTCACTCCAACATTGTGACATTTTATTTCCTGAGAATGATGTTCACATATGCCACGAGTTTTGGGTGGAAATTTGATAAATCCATCTATTATTTATTAGTTATTCAAATTGGAAGACCTGAGGAAGCAGCGTCTTGAGGACCTGGCCACTCTCATTCAGAAGATTTATCGGGGGTGGAAATGTCGCACACACTTCCTGCTGATGAGAAAAAGCCAAATCGTGATTGCTGCCTGGTACAGGAGATACGCGGTGAGAGCCCCTGACATTTTTTTGAGCTGTAATCACGATGCTTTTTTTTGCAAATATTTGTTACGTACTTAACTGTGTAGGTATTTTTTTTTACATACTTCATCCTCCGAATGACCTCGTGAAATGGGTGCTTTTCTGGTCCCTTTTTTAAAGATGAGAAAACTAAGTCATTGAGCTGTTAAGTAACAGCTCCTATGAGGCAGGGATGGGGTTTGAATCCAGGACAACGTCAAAGCTCTAGTTTATCCTGCTGTCTTCCACTGATGGAGGTACATGTAGTGGGAGATCTACATCTTGAATTTGGTTATCAGATTGGAAGAGATAATGTCATTTAACCCTTTGAGTATAGTAGGGTCAATTTTCCCAAATAATTGGCTGTTTTCCATTTATTGTAGGAATACTGAAAATGGCTTTAATTCCAGAAAGCTAATGCCACATTTTAGTAGAATTCTGGGTTTGGGTTAAAGGGTTGGATCTCCTTTAGTCCTCAGATATCTGGCCCTTTGGGAAAAGACTCCAAAATAAAGTATTTAATTGGTATGGAATTTCTTTGGGGAATTTTCTTTCTCACTCAATTATAGATGTTTCATTGGAGGCATAACAGGTTTGAGGGGAACCTGAAGGTTTACCTCTAGGCTAGCTTGAACTTGGCATTGCGTTCTCACAAAATGAATTTTAATGATAAGAGCACTGCTTCCAAACACATTTTCATTCTCTGCTTTTTCACTAGAGAGTGAGTTGGAAAATGAATTAAAATTGCAATCAAATCTCCTTTAGGGTGTTCTTCCTCTTTTTCAGCTGTAGAGGAGTTTTGCTTTAAGGGTGTGTATAATCAGGACATAATTTATGCTGACCTGTTCTCATGTAATACATTTTAGTGTATAATTTCCAAGTTTTAGAAATTAATGAGTTACTTAAATGAAAAGTAAGGAAAAATTATGTGATCTTTAAAAGAATATCTTTAAAATTGCTTCCTCAAGTTAAAAGAGTGTAACCAACAGTACAAGTGTTAAAGTATGACCCTAGCCAGTGGGTTCATTAACATGTATCCTGCAAAGGCCCAGAAGACTGTTGTCACCAACCTGGCTGCACATAGCAGTGGTACTTGGCCCTTCGGCAGATTCATAATGCTCTGTTTCCTGTTTGCCTGAGAAAGGGAGGACCCACAAATAGGCAGTCCTCAAGGAACCCCTTTTATTATTTCTTATTTTGAGATCATTAAGAAAAACCAAGTTTTGAAGCATCCTGAATTCATCTATATTGAATTCTACCAATAGTTTTGAAACCCTTATTCTGCCAGGCTCAGGGGATAGCAAGGTGAACCAAACAACCTGATTCCTGACCTCATACAGTTCATGGCTAGTGAGGGACAATATGCATTTAAGCAAATAAATAGAACAATGACAGATTTTAGAGTAAGTGCTAGGAAGGAAATAGAGAACTGAGATAAAGAGTAATGGGGAGACTGGAGATTAGATAGGGTGGTCAAGGAAGACCTTCTGGAAGGGGCCATTTCATCAGAAGGATGAGGAGAAAAGTCAAGGAACCAAAAATAGCAAGTGCTGTTTCCACCCTCCCTCCCAATAAGGAGCTTTTGTATCTCGAGATTTTTAAAAAGTCACCATATGTATCATTAATTTGTGATTCTGAGAGTTAGAATGATAAATAATAGCCCAAACTTTAGAGGAAGTATTAATTTTGCTCTAGTGTTATTTCTGTTTTCGAATTTGAACTACAGGCAAACCTCAGAGACTTTGTGGGTTTGGTCCTAGACCTCTCCAATAAAGCAAACATTGCAAATCTTTTGGTTTCCCGGCGCACATGAAAGTCATGTTTACGCTATACTGTAATCCATTAGGTGTACAATAGCATTATATCTTTAAAAAAAATGTACATACCTTAATTAAAAAATATTTCGTTGCTAAAAAATGCTAACCATCATTTGACAACGCAGGGTTGCCACAAACCTTCAATTTGTAAAAAAAAAAAAACCCCGCAATATCTACAAAGTACAGTAAAACAAGGTATGCTTGTAAATGCCTCCACCAGTTAACTACAGTTATCCAAGCCAGTGATTTTCCCTTGACCAAATAACTCCAAGATTTTCCGAATGACCATTTTCGGTTACTACTTATCTTAAAATCCATATTCTGTGATATTTCATGGCTCCTTGAGGTGACTTTTAAAGACAGTTATTTTCAAGCCATGCAGGAATTTTAAAAGAAGACATTGAGGTACCAAATGAATGTCAGAAGTGATGGTCGGATATTGTAGGTACAGTTTAGCCCCTACAGCCGTAGACTATCACTCTGTGTGGAATCTTAGAGATTTTCCAGCTCCTCAGTTGACTGATGAAGAGACTGAGGCCCAAAGAAGGTGGTGACTTGTACAGGGTCCCAGGGTTCTCTTTGCCTTTCTCTCGGGCACCCTCTTTTGTTCTGCTGCTCATTTTCTCTGAGCTTCCGGAACATAGCCTAGAGTCCTGGGAGCATCTGTTCCCCCTCAGAGAAAGGGGGCTGGGCACTCTGCCATTTCCAGGGTCTGAGTCACAGCCTGGCTTCAGTATTTTGTTTGAAAAGCTGTGAAATTTCATCACAAATGCCCACGTTGTAGTGAATATTCCCCGCTAAATACAGTAAGCGCTCACTTCTCTAGGGATAGTGTTCTAGCAGCCTCCACTCTCCAAGGCATTGGCCCTGGAAGTAAGGGCCTCTGGGCCTCTAGCTTGCCGAGCCGACTCTTGGGAAGATCTCCCTGGGTCTTCCTTAACCTTCCCCACCTGGAAATAACCTCTGCTGTAGTTGAACATCCTCACGGTTCTATTGAAGGGCTCTATGGCAAGTAGGAGCTCAATAAATAAAGTTTAGTCGATGGATAGGAGTTGACTTAAATTTGTTAGCTGATTTCCCAGCTTGAGGCAGTAAAAGCAGCAAACCTAAAAGGAACTGGAGACGTTAGAGGCTGACCCAGTGAGTAGCACACTGAGAAATGGCACCAAGAAGAGAGAAGGCTTAGGAGCAGATGCAGAGCTCAACGTGTATTCATTCATGTGTGTTCACTGGGTATCTGCTATGTGCTCGACGTTGTATTATAACAGCATGACACAAAGAACAGATGTTAATAATGGTGGGTCCTGAGTCATTTCGAAATTAATTGTATTTACCATCCTTGAAGCAAACTTTGGATTAATCATAATAATTTTGGATTGTTGGATATTTTGATTTCTGTACTTATTGGTTCCTGGAAAGAATATGGGTGATCGAGAGTTCATTGCACTAAGTGAGCAAATTCTCTTTCTCAGTGTGCATGTTATGGATATGTAAATAGAATTGCTGATATCTTCCCCTTTCATCCTACAGCAACAAAAGAGGTATCAACAGATAAAGAGCTCTACCTTGGTAATTCAGTCTTATATCCGGGGTTGGAAGGTGAGTTTAAAAGAAGTGATCCTTATTTATGTAAGGTTTTCATGTTCTTTACAAAGGATGATGTCTCTGGGCTCACCCTGCAGGGGAGGGTTCCTCATCTCCTGCCTACCCTGTAAACAGTCAGATGGAAAAAATAAATATTATGGGCCAAGCTCCGGCCCTACAACATGTCTTGGCTGCTTCCTGCTTTCTTTTCAAGAGCTTTGTTCTCTGAGCAGGAAGCCCTTGAAATAATACCGTACATGATTTCAATATCCTCTTGCCCCCTGTTTGCGAGGGAAGCTGTAACGCAAAAGGCTGTCTCACACTGTTGCCTCCATACCTGTGAGCCCTGCCATACCTCAGCACCCCAGCACAATGCCTTCCATACCTTCCCTGTGACCCTCTTGCAGGCTGCCCCATCATGATTGAAAGATCCTAAGCTCTGGCTGTCCTAGTGCACCCACCACCTGGTTCTGGGTCCTTCCTGCCAAAGTGTGATTCAGAGTCAGCACACTATAGCCCACAAGCCAGATCTTGGTTCAGGAGTCCTGCCGTTCCCATTGCCCTTTGTCTAGGCCTGTGGGCAGCCCAGGTGCTTAGTGGTTGTCCCACAGCAATTGCCAAATACAAGTCTGCTGTGCTCAGAGTAAGTGAGATTGCTGCACACAGGTTTTCCTTTGACCTACTACCGAGTCCTGGGTCCAGGCGTCCAGTCTAGAGACTTCAGAGGCAGAACTGAGGGTTCGCCTCCAAACCGGCTGTCCTCCTGGCCCCCACTAAATCATTTTCAAGCAACTGCTGGAAAGAAGCCACTAGTACTGAACCAGTGAGATAATTTTATTTTATAGCAAGTTTTTAGCCATCTCTTTTGAAAAAAAAGTACAGCTACAGTTCCTTCCAGACAATAATAATAAAAGTGATCAAGTGGATTTTGGTGGATCATTGGAGATCCACTGACCGCCTTCTGAGAACTGTTCCTTCCATCTGCCGTGTCCAGTTTGTATTGCTGTGGTCAGATTTTTTCCTGTCACGTGTCAGGGCGTGGGAGGCTGCTGTCTATCTGAGTGGGGCTACACTGTCATGCTTGATAATGTCTTCATTTACCACCTTCTCATGGTCCATTTTGGGCTAATAAAGCAACCTTCCCTTTTCCTTTCTTTAAGCTACTGATTTTTCCCTTGAGAAGGGGGATTATGACTATCTCTTCAGGTGGTTTTTTTCAAGTCACTATGGATATAGTTTTTTGGTGTTAATTTTCTATCTTTCTGGGTCATTCTGTGCTTTAGGCCCGAAAAATCCTGAGGGAACTGAAGCATCAGAAGCGCTGTGAGGAAGCAGCCACCACCATTGCAGCGTATTGGCATGGTACCCAGGTAGGCCAGAGATGCCCAGGAAGGCAGCGGGTCAGGAGTGATGTGTGGAGCAACGGACCCTCCCATTCGGGATTCACTGGCTTAAGCTCCTGAGCACGTGTTTGCCTCTTGCTCTTTCCAACGTTTCGGTGTGGGGTGGTGGCACACGCTTTTGTGTTTACTGTTTGATGGTGACCGGTGTCTCTCTTCCTCTTTCTCCATTGGGAATCAGCAGTAACCTTTCTTGCCTTAAACTTTTCTGTAACTCCTTTTCAAATGCATCACAGGCGCGAAGGGAACTGAGCCGGCTGAAGGCGGAGGCTAGGAATAAACATGCTATTGCAGTTATTTGGGCTTACTGGCTTGGATCTAAGGTACTTGAAATGCACATCCCATCACTCCCATCCTGGAATCCGCAATAATCAATCCATATCTCTAGCATCTCAGGGGATGAAGACCCATGGTTAACAGTGGCTCACACTGGTGCATGTCCTAGTAGCCACATTTAATAACCCTGGAGATGTTTGTGCCAAGAGAGCACGTTAGGAAGCAAGCATGCGTAGGCAAAAAAGACTAATTAATTGCTTACTAATGAGGTACTATCATAGTTGCTCTTTTTTTTAAACTCTCGAGTAACATGCATGTTTAGTTTTGGGGGGGGTTGTTTGTTTTTTACCCCCCTAATATATCCTGGCAGTTTTCTGAAGGTGTTTTTGTGCGCTATGGGGGCATGATGGGAATGTTAAAGTTTGGGTTTCGGTTGGTCTTCCGCAACATGTTAATAATAGAAACACCTTTAACGCATGCTCGACAAAAATATTAATCCATGAATGAAATTGTTTTTTAGGCTCACTGTGGTAGCTGTTGATTATTATAAGCAAAATATTATATGTGAAAAGAAATATCATCTGTGATTTAGCAGAAAGCTCTGTTCATGCAAAGCTAGCTGTAATTGCCCCTGAAGAATCCCAGGAATTTCGGCATCAGCTGTTTGTGATCAGAAACAAAGGCCTCCTGAAATACTCTCACTAATCCCCAGGCAGAGTCGTGGGCTCTGTGAACGTTTTACATATCCCAAGGGAGGGAGCACTTTAGATGTTTTTGTTACTTAGAAAATCAAAGATCATCTCTGCTAAACATGTGTATCCCAGTTAGAAACTCAAATATCATTACCGTCCTATGTTTTTAAGTCTACCTTGTCAACATTATAAACCCGTCTTGTGAGAAAAATGAGAAGAGTCAACATTTGCCTGTATAAAGGTGTTAACTTGCCACAAACTAACCAAAGTTGTTCATTTGTGTCCTCCCCTGAAAATCTGTGTGGAACAGACTAGTTCCCTTTTATAAACTGAGGGAGCTGTCTTAGCAGAGGCAGAGGGACTCCTAGACAATTACTCTGGGCTTTCTCCACTGAATGAGAGAAATCCATTTCCCAGCCTGAGTACTGTAATGTAATGAAACCTTAGTGCCTGTCTGTTCCTGTCTTTTAAAATAACATGCCTCAGATTAATTTTTCCCTAAGATTGATTTAAACCTACGAGTTATTTCACTTTTTTAATCTTGCTTCCATATATTTCACTGTTTAGGGCCTTACCTAATATTGAATTTTGATACATGCTACTTCTAATTTTCCAACTGGAAAAAATTGGAGGTTTTGTTGTTTTTGTTCGAAACTTCAGAGAGGCAACCTTTATTCCTTCCAGTTTTCTAAATGGTTGTTCACAAGAGTTATCTTTTTATACATCCAAATGCATGAACTCAGGAATTCACAGCCTCTTTAGCCCCGTGGGCTGGCAGCAAAGGGAAGTCTATGTAAATCCTTAGGTGCCACTCACAGTTCTAAGGCTTTGATGAGGGAGGGGAGTGAGAGAGTGTGGAGAAGGGAGTGAAGAGGGAGAGAGAACAGGGGAGAGAAAAGAAACAGAATGGAAGTAAGGGGGAGGGCAGGGGAGTGCTTCCCTCAGGTACCCTCCTCTGGGACAGAGTCTCAATGCACCGAAAATACAAGGGACTACGCTAGCCTGACACTGATGCTTTGGGTTTAAATGATTGTGCACCATTTCTCTTTCATTCTGAAATCCTGATACATAAATTGGCTCTTCTGTTTGGTGGGGTGTCTTTTTCTGGTCATTTGTGCTGTCTGCATTGGGCTGTCTCTTTTATTTACCATCTAAAACATTCTAGGCTCGAAGGGAATTGAAACGCTTGAAGGAGGAGGCTAGGCGTAAGCATGCAGTTGCTGTCATTTGGGCTTACTGGCTTGGACTGAAGGTACTTCCTCAACCTCTTCTTTCTGTCCACGGTGAACTCAGTGAAGCCTAGCACCTACTAACTCTGACCAGACGATTGATTATGCTTGCTCATGGTCTGCACAGTCTTTTACAATGTCATCTTGCCTAATTTGATTTCCTTTTGAGAACAATCCTGTACACCAAAATTTTCTGATTTTATTGCATTGTCTTTCTTTAAATAATAAAAGTAATAGCATATTACTTTAAATAGTAATGTAGCATATTTTATTCTTTGTTATCCAAGTTCTGTTTAATGTTCTCTTTATGAGATGAAGATTGTTTTTCATTTATGAGACAGAGTTACAGCAGTTGAGCTTAGAAGCTGACCAACCATTGCAGTGACCAGCCTGGGGATATTGGGCTTTTGTTTCCCTTTACCCATCTGTTCTGTCCCATTGACGGCTCTTGGAGCAGAGCTTTCTTAAAAGTGCCCATCGTTCTAATTGTTCAGCATAGAAACGAAAGGGTTTTGCATAAATATACAGATTTTGACAAATAAGACCAGCAGTAGATCATTCAGGTTAAAGAGAACTTTAGATTCAAATGCCCTCTAATTTAGGGCCAGGTTTATTTTAAAGCAATACTTCCTACTTGAGGTAAGCTTGCATGTTAGCGAATATGACTCTGAGCTCTGGAAAACCTTGAGAACGACCTTTAGGCAATATAAGGATTTTGTCTTCCTAATATTCAGTAACTCCTCACTGTAGGGAGCCATCCATATTGTCATTTGGGGATAATTAGGCCTTTTTTTGACATTTCCTCTTTGTTATTTTTACTATAATACTATAATTCATTTTTTTAAATATTTGAATATTCTCCAGGAAACCATTGACTCTGAACCTGAACTGTTTTAGCAGTATCTGTAAACTCTGCTTTGAACAATCTGCGTTTTTCCCTGAAAGTTTAGCCTATAAACTTTTAGTAAATTAACTTTTTTATTATAATGAATATTTATCAAGTAATTGTTGAGGTAATTAAGAAGTAACTTAAATATGAATTTAAGATGTTCTATTTCAAGAATTCTGAACAAGTTCTGTTACTACTTTTTTAAAGTTAAAACGGAGGATTTTATTTCCCATTTTATTCACATTCTAATTTGCATTCTAATTTTCATAAAAGGAAGGAACAAACAACATTGAGTCAGGATTTTTACTCTCTATAATGATTTCTACCAGCAACATCATGTTTATCTTCAGTTTTCTGGATTTAACTAATTGCATATGATTTAAAAAGTACTTTTAGGTTAAGAGTGTATGCTAGCATCCTATAAACCAAATTCAGTTCACAGGTGAATACTGTTTTAGCTGAAGTTAACTGGGCTTACTCTATAGACATAACTGTCTTTTTTTTTCCAGTTTCCACAAAACAGGAGTATTTTAATGTTACCATTATTGTTATAAGATTAAACATCTTTGAAGTCCAAGAATGTAATAATTTTGTGTTTTTTTTAAAAAATAAGTATGTTGATATGAACAGTAACTTTGCCCTTTTAAATGATTTGATTCTTGTGGAATTGATTACAAAGTTCAGTGGATCCTTTTTAAGACCCCGGGGCCCATGAAGGGAACCCATTCTATATGCCAGCATGTTGTCACCAGGCCTCTTCTTTGTGTAGCTGTTTTTCAGGCGAAAGGGCCTGTCCTGTGAGTATCAAAAAGAATGTTGCATTGAGCTCAGTTACAATGAAATTCAAGTAAATATAGGACTTCTAGTATATTTCTAAGGATATGTTTTCATGAAACTCACTTTAACTTCTCTGCTTTTGTACACTCTTACAATTTCAGGGGCTAATTAATAGGTATCATTTTTCTTCTTGTTCCTTCTAACCTTGTAAGTGAGATTTGAAATAGTTATAGACAACTCCATGGCTAAAAGAGAAATGATAATCAGTAACATAAGATATGAATTAAAGGAAGAACTGCCTATGTGGTGTATGGGAGAATTTTTAACCCTTAATAATCCACAGATGTAGAGAATAGGTCTGGTGCTCAAATGTCCAGAGGGACCAGGCAGGTCCCATGGATGAGGGAAGTAGCAGATGGAAGGTAGGGTAGGAATGGCAGGCCTCCTGCGGGCCTCCTGTGGTTTGGAGGTTACAGCTCTCTTCCAAAGGCAGCAATGGCTGCTCTGGTCCACTCAGTCCTTGTCACGTGGGAATAGGACTCACTGTTGCTAGATCTTAGAAAATTGTAAGAGAAACCTGCAGCCTGAATTCCTGTGTGAAGGTCTTAATTTTAAAATGTGCATATAAAACATTTTTCGACAAACAATTTGGTTACTAGTTTGCTAGTTTACGTAAAGCCCCTAATGTAGAAATATTTTGAACATGTGCAGTTGAACCCAGAAAGCTAAAGATATAAGAAAAACATACATAATGTCTGAATTATTCAAGTAGGCTAATATTTTGCTAAATTCTAACTCTCCCATTTATAACTGAATGATGATAAACATTTTAAACGTTTTCCCCCTCAGTTTCCAAATTTAGCTATCATTCATTCATTTAGCAAACACCTCAGTTATTTTATTTGTTAGACACTAGTATACAAGGTAAATACGACAATATAGCAAGGAAGAAATGGTGAACTAAAACTGTAATATGAGGTCTTAAGTGCTGTGATTAGTATTAGTAGACAGTTTGATGGGAATGGGGTAAGAGAAAAAGTAATGCAATTAAATGGGAGATAATGATCATTCAGTAGCTTCCTTTTAAATTCTTATTTTTAGTCACATTCACTTCTCAGTATGCAGTACTAAAGTCCTGTCTTCATATGCAAGGCTTTTGGAAACTGCCATATATTTCTTCAGGCATTTTTTTGCCTTCTAAGAACAATTTGAAGTGAAAATTACCTTATATAATTTTTTCTGGAATGTATTTTGATTTGCGTAGGGTTTGCAGCTATGCCTATAAAGCGTTTCTCATCAGATTGTCAGGCTCTTTAAAAACTAGTTAAGAGGATTAAAAACATCAAAACACTCTGGTATTATCTTGCATCTCTGAATTTCTTTTTCTCCAATTTAAAACCTACTGTCTCAGTATGCTTCAATTATTTTACTGTATCCAGAAAGACACTCATAAATTTACTTGTTCCATCTATGTTCGATTTTAATAGAGGTGTTATCACCTTTATGGGCATCTGCTGGCCGCGCATTAACCTCTGTATTCTGCTGCTTCTTTTTAAAGGTCCGCAGGGAGTACAGGAAATTCTTCAGAGCCAATGCTGGAAAGAAAATTTATGAATTTACACTTCAGAGAATTGTAAGTTTATACTTTACATATGGCTAATTAGCATTATTGCATTAACTAGTTAATAGCACCAACTCAGTAATATGTGACTTGTTTGGTAACAATTAAATCATAACTGTGCCACTGAGAGTTTGTGACCTTTTTTATCATCGGTTCTAAAATTCAAGTAGAATTGTGTCAGAAAGAGGCCTGTACGTGATTAATCAAATATTCTTCTTCTTTGACAGAGAGAACATACTTCGGGGAAAGTGAACCCAAGAAAGCCAGGTGTCTTAGTTCAGGCTGCTATAACAAAAATGCCATAGACTGTGTGCCTTAAACAATAAACATTTATTTCTCACAGTACTGGAGGCTGGACAGCCCAAGATCAGGGTGCCAGCATGGACTGGTTCTGGTGAGGGCCTCTTCCTGGTCTCCTCACATGACAAAGAGAAGGAGAAGCTAACTCTTTTCCTGTCTCTTCTTCTAAGGGCACTAATCCCACCTAGGAAGCTCTGCCCTTATGACCTCCTCTCAACCTCATTACCTCCCCAAGGCCCCACCTCCTAACACTATCCCTTTGGGGGTTAGGGTTTCAGCATAGGAATTTGAGGGGAATGCCAAGAGCTTGCCCTGCTAAACTGCCACGAGCCGCTGCAAAGTAAGGTTGGCAAACAAGCTAGTGGGTGGAGGGGTGAGGGAGAGCAAGGCTATGCCCCTCTCCCGGGATGGATTCTAAAGTTCCCTTCCATCTTTCCAAAAAGGAGTAGATGTAGTGGTGAAGAGCGCAAACTCTGGAGACAGCTTGCTCCACCACTCACAGATTTGCAAGCCTCATTTTGTCATCTGTAAAATGGGGATAATAATAGCATTAAACTTGTAGAGGTATGGTAAGGATTAAGATGAAGTAACACTATAACGCTCCCACAGTGCCTGGCCCATGTTAAGTGCTCTAGAGCAGGGGTCCCCGACGCCCAGGCCACCGACCGGTACTGGTCTGAGGCCTGTTAGGAACCGAGCTGCACAGCAGGAGGTGAGGATCAGGCAAGCAAGCAAAACTTCATCTGCCACTCCCCATGGCTTGCATTACTGCCTGAATCATCCCTCTCCTCCATGGAAGAACAGTCTTCCACAAAACCAGTCCCTGGTGCCAAAAAGCTTGGCGACCGCTGCTCTAGAGCAGTGCTGTCCAATAGAACTTTCTGCAGTGACAAAAATGTTCTGTATCTTTGCTGTCCAGTAGAGTAGCCACTGGCCACATGTGGCTAGTGAGCAGTTGAAATGTAACTAGTGTGACTGATGAACTGGATTTTTAATTTTTTTAATTACTTAAAATTTAAGTATAAATAACCACCTGTGCCTAGTGGCTACCTGTTAAAACACTGCAGCTCTCTAATGTTGACCGGTATTAGTATTAATGTTAATATTAAAATTAGTATGCGCGTTAGTATTCTTCTTTTCTCTTAACCATTTGGTGGAGCTCAGATTTCTCCAACCAATGCGAAGAGTGGAATAGAGACTTTCCAGAAGCGTTACAAAGTCTTATGGACTAAAACTTGGTAAATTCCACTAAAGACTGGTTTCTTTGAGTCTGGTTTATGTCAAACAGTGTTTTTTTCTGGTGTATTTTACTCATCTGGTATTTTCTGTCAAACCCAACACAGGTGCAAAAATACTTCTTGGAAATGAAAAATAAGGTGCCTTCCTTATCTCCGATAGATAAGAATTGGCCATCAAGACCTTACCTATTCTTGGATTCTACTCACAAGGAGCTAAAAAGGATTTTCCACTTGTGGAGGGTAAAAATTGTCTTGCTATGTTTTTTCAGAGACTTCTTTTCGTATATTTTGAGTGTTTGAGGAGTGTTACGTAAAAGCAGACTCTTCCTCTAGCCTCAAGGAGAATTAGTTGAGGAAGTTGGTGTTTTTGAAGCAGGCAGCGTGCTTGGCTTTCTGTGAGAATTCCTAGAGCCCCAGCTGCTCCTGTGACATCTTCTCTCATCCGTGGTTGGGAAGGAAAGAGCAAGGCTGCATTGTCTTTCCCGTCCAGATTCCAGTTGCTTTCAAGTAGTTGAGTTTTTTGGTTTTGTTTTCCTCTTTAGTTGAAGAAATATTTGCTGGAGGTAGAAGTAATAAAATTTGAACATCTTCATGTGAGTGGTAAAGTCTCGAAAATTGTATGAGTTTACTTTCTATGAAGACATACATAGACACACATGAGAACACACACATTTTAATGGACTGGGGGGAAGAAGCTCTAAAGTCACCCAAAGGACATTAAAGAGATTAAAATTTCCATACCTGAGTGAAAGGGAAGCTGAAAATCTACTTGATTTGGCCTTATATTTTGGCTCACTTAATTTTGTATGAGAGCATAACATGTAATTTAGGTGGTGCTATGTGTGGAATACATGGGGTACTTGTACAGAGGTTGACTTCATTTCAGTAACTTAGTTGATATATGGAATGCTAAATATATGTCATTCAGATAGAATGGAATCATTAGGTTGAAGGGCTTGTATTTAGTAAGTGAACGATTGATGGATACGTCTTCTGGGAAACTTTCCTGCCCAGTACTATGGGCTTCTTCTTAACTGAATCAATTATGTATAGAGACATTATCACTGATCAGTGATACCAGCACAGCATATAGAACTGGATTCTGAGTTCTGTTCCCTAACTTAGTGAGTCAGTTTGGCAAGATTCACCAATGTCTTCAATGTTCATCTCCCCCTTTGAGTCTGATATGGAAACTATTTTCAGAAGTAATGATGGGGAGCTTCTAATGCTGGGCATCCGCTCTGCCTGTCCTTTCCCCCAGCCCCTGAGCCTTGCCTTTACAACTCCGTTGAACTGGGGGTGGAGAATGGGAGGGATGAGTTTATTCCAGGGGTGGGCAGCAATGCTAACATTCCTTTATATGATTATGTGGGTGGTTCTCAACCACCCCTGAACTGAATTTCTTACAGAGTTCATCTAAAGAACCTGGTCCTGTCCCTCCCACCACCCCCTTCTCCTTTCAGTGCAATCTCAGAATCGGGTGAAGGGAAGATTTCTCAGGTCCCGTGTCCACGTTATAAAATGGTAATGGAGGATTCGGAACAGTGCTTTTCAAACCATAGGTGATAGCATACTTGTGGGTCATGAAATCAATTTAGTTGATTACTACCAGCATTTTAAAATGAAATACAGTACGATAGAAAATAACGGAATATACGACATCGTAGAAAGGATAAGTATTGCTTTGTGAAGGTTTTGTGTAAGTTGTCTATATGTGTGTCTATAAATATGTGCACTGGGTTGTGATGTACCATGTTTTCCTTACTGTGAGTCTCTGAAAGAGTATGATAGCTCAGGACTGTGGATGTCCAAGGGCTGACGTCATAGTGGGAGGAAACGGTACTCCCGGGGGGGCCCAGGCCAGATGTTTTGAAATAGCATCGCAAGTTCTGCCATACAAACAGTCGTTTTTATGACATTTTCTGAGACCAACCTTTTAAAGCTCAGGAAGGAAAAATTCTCTTGGCCTTTTAAATGAATATTTCATACACATTTACGATTATTCTTAACTGCTGTTAAATTGGCTTAGCATATTTAAGGATGAGTAATGATTTATTTATATAAGTGATGTCCTTCTTTTTTTCTTCTTTTCATATCTCACAGTGTAAAAAATACAGGGACCAATTCACAGACCAACAGAAACTTATTTATGAAGAGAAACTAGAAGCCAGTGAACTCTTCAAAGACAAGAAGGCTTTATACCCATCTAGGTATTATGGCTTTGCTTTACCCATAAAAGTCAATATTTTAAAAGTTTCTCAGATATATTCGTAGGCATTTTCTAGTGGGTTTTGATTTTAGTAATACACAGATTTTTAATTTCATGAATTACTTTATGATCAGCTGGATATGAATATAACACATTTGAGCAAGGGCTTCCATAGTATACTTAGAGAAATGAGATCACATTTGTTGGTTTTACTCTATTGGCATTACCTGAACACTTCCTAAATAATTAGAAGTTGTCCTTTAAAATAAAAATTGTCTAGGCTGTTAAGATAAACTTACATTGTAAATTCCCGTTAGTTTTCTATAGTTTTTGGACGCTAGCTGGTTTCTGATGGCAATCTACTGTAATCACCATTCCAATCTTCCTGCTTTAACAAGCTGGGTCAGAATCTCATTTGTAAGATAAATGAAGAATGAGCCAGTCTGTCACTTTCTGAGTGTTGCCTAGGCACTGGCCCGTGGTGGCCTTTGGTCGGCTAACTTATTGGCTGTGAGTTCACTGGCCTCTGCGGCAAGTTCAGTTCCTTTATTGGAGGCACCAAGTGCTCAGTAAAAGAAGGAACACCAACTGCAAGTTTGCCAAGTGAAGTTCTTGGTAAAAACTGCTTATCAGAGTATTCTTCCATCTCCCAAGTTCATCGTTTTCCCCCCTAGGATTCCTATCCCCTTTACATCTGGTGTTTCTAAAAAAGTAGATTGTACAATTTCAAGCCAAATCTGTAACAACTTTTAGCTTTTCCCAAAGAATGTCTTAGAAATAAAAATACATTATATGCTAAGTATATTCACACGTACTGCATGTGGTGTGTCTGTATTCTCTACGTCTACACGTATTTGAAAGCGCTTCTTAAAGGATTAAATGAGCATAAGTTGTCAAACTCATTTGCTTTAGATATTTTAAATGGCACAGCTTCCTTGGTCAGCTGACTTGGCTGCTTGAGGGGGTGTACACTCCCCTCAATCAAACACAGCGTCTAAATCCAACATTGTTCAAAGTGCCTGCTCTGTAAAGCATATTCAGACAGGCAGATCGTCTATATTCTTTCTCCACCAACTTAATTCATTCAACTTTTTCTTTATATGTCTTTAAATTATAGAGTGACCTTCTTAATTAACATTCCCTATGGATGACTCTTTAGAAACTGGAAGGAGAAAAAAATGCATTTTTGAAGAAACAAATTCAAAGACAGTTAGCACTTTGTATTATTAAAAATGTGTTTGAATATGAACAACAACCAAAAAATGTTAATATCAAGCCAAGTCCTCTTGGGTAGTTTTATTAGTTTTCGGGGATGGTAGCATGCTCACCCTCTAGCATTGAGAGAGGTCGAATCGTTTATCCTCCCACCGCTCTGTGAAGTGGCAGCCCTTAGGGGTGCTGACCTTTTCTGTCCTGGAAGCTGTGAAACACTGACCACCTACGTGGATTTTCTTCCCTGATCCTCCACACACAGCACAAGCATTTAAAGTTGTATTTGCAAATTGCCAGAACTTTATAGCTCAAAATGAAGCCGTGGTTTTTCCTTGACATCTTTGAAGAAGCCTCCCTGTCACCCCACAGGTCTTTAGGGAAAGCCACCTTGGTGCCGTGTGCATGATCATGCCTCTTACAAGAAGTAGTTTGGAAGAAAACTGCTCTGATTCTGAATGTTTACCTTGGCCACCTCTGTCCATTTAGGGGCATATCCTAAGAGGAAAGGCCAGATTTTTCTTTCATATATGGCCTACTTAGAGCCAGAGTTACATGGTAATATTAAGTGCTCTGCAGTTTTCTTCTCAAGTGGTTGCTCTGGATCTGTTCTTCCCCCGAAGGCCTACTCACTTCCTTACTCTCTGTGAGAAAATGAAAATTTTCTCTGGAGCAGGTGATGGTAATGATTTGTGCTCTTTTTACCATTGCTACGTATTGTTTAAAGATATTAATGAATCCTGTGTAGGTAGCTGTTAACCTTATAATAACAGATTAAAAGGAATGACCTATTCCTTCCTGTGAGTCCATGCAGATGGGTCTTGGCTGTCCTACTTGTGAGTGATTTCTTTCTTGGTTGTTCCATGTGATAAGATTTTTATCAAAGTCTTACCAACCAAATGCCATGATCACATCAAAAATATATTTGAGGTGATTCCTCACTGTAGTTTTGATTTTCATTTCTCTAATGTTGTTGCTGGAGAGGGTGTGGAAAAAAGGGAACCCTCTTGCACTGTTGGTGGGGATGTAAATGGATACAGCCACTCTGGAGAACAGTATGGAGGTCCCTTAAAAAACTAAAAATAGAATTACCATATGATCCAGCAATCCCACTACTGGGCATATACCCTGAGAAAACTATAATTCAAAAAGAGTCATGTACCACAATGTTCATTGCAGCACTGTTTACAATAGCCAAGACATGGAAGCAACCTAAGTGTCCGTCAACAGATGAATGGATAAAGAAGATGTGGTACATATATACAATGGAATATTACTCGGCCATAAAAAGGAACGAAATAGAGTTATTTATAGTGAGGTAGATGGACCTAGAGTCTGTCATAGAGAGTGAAGTAAGTCAGAAAGAGAAAAATACCGTATGCTAATACATATGGAATCCAAAAAAAAAAAAAATTGGTTCTGATGATCCTAGGGGCAGGACAGGAATAAAAACACAGATGTAGAGAATGGACTTAAGGACACGGGGAGGGGGCAGGGTAAACTGGGACAAAGTGAGAGAGTAACATTGACATATACACACCACCAAATGTAAAATAGATAGCTAGTGGGAAGCAGCTGCATCGCATGGGGAGATCAGCTCGGTGCTTTGTGACCACCTAGAGGGGTGGGATAGGGAGGTTGGGAGGGAGACGCAAGAAGGAGGGGATATGGGGATATATGTATACGTATAGCTGATTCACTTTGTTATACAGCAGAAACTAACACAACATTGTAAAGCAGTTATACTCCAATAAAGATATTAAAAAAAGAAAAAATATATATATATATTTGAAATTTGAATTTCAAAATCAACTGACCTGTTACCTTTTTCTAGTTAGTAGTACTTCCATGTGAAACCATTTCTTACGTGAGGAACTTTTTTCCTTTAGTGTTGGGCAGCCATTCCAAGGGCCTTACCTGGAAATCAACAAGAATCCCAAGTATAAGAAACTCAAAGATGCCATTGAAGAAAAGATTATCATTGCTGAAGTGGTGAACAAAATTAACCGTGCTAATGGGAAGGTAAAAACGCTAACCCTGAAGACCTGTAAGAAGTGTTTATCAGTTGGGACAGTTTTCTGAATGTTAAAATTTGCATTTCAGAAATAGACTCACAGACATAGAAAACAAATTTATGGTCACCAAAAGGGAAAGGAGTGGGGAGGGGTAAATTAGGAATTTGGGGTTAACAGGTACACACTACTAGATATAAAATAGATAAACAATAAGGTCCTACTGTATAGCGCAGGGAACTATATTCATCATCTTGTAATAATCTATAACAGAAAAGAATCTAAATATATGTGTGTGTGTGTGTGTGTGTATAACTGAATCACTTTGCTCTGTGCTGAAACTGACACAACATTGTAAATCAACTACACTTCAAAAAAATTTGCATTTCATATACTCTACAGAGTTATTGTGAATGGAGCTGTTTTCTCTTACCTTTAAGCTTAGGTGGAATTTTGCTTGTTCTCTGAAATTTTTGTGAGTTAAAATAGATTATCAATGTTCTTTAGTGTGTTCTCGTTTACGTAGGTGTGCATGCTGAAAAATATTAGAATAATATTTTCTACATTTCTACAAATAGCAATGCTTTAAGCTCATGAACTCTTTTGGGGGATTTTTGATCATTGGTTTTACATCCTTTTTTGTTTTGGTTTCTTGTAGAGTACATCCCGGATTTTCCTCTTAACAAATAATAATCTCCTTCTTGCTGATCAAAAGTCTGGACAGATCAAGTCAGAGGTTCCCCTGGTGGATGTAACCAAAGTATCGATGAGCTCACAAAATGATGGCTTCTTTGCCGTCCACCTCAAAGAGGTAAAGCTTTAACTATTGATTTGACTGAAAGATTTCTGCATTGGTCCAGTCTCTCAGACATTGATCTAAAATTTTCCACATGTGAATAATCCTATTACTTGAAGTTTATATATTCTGTTTACCGACCTGCAAATTTGGTCTATATTCACTCATGTAAAATCTCAGGCTTGGTTTTTCAGTAACTAAATGAGATTAATGACTCTTTTTGACTCGTTCATTTGAGTTCTCATTTCACTGAGTAGCTTTTTGTTTACACCCACCATGATGTGCCTTATTTTGAGACTAATTCCTGGAAATATCAAGACATTCAAAATTATACTTCCTTCGTTTCTTCTATCTATTAAATTAGTAAATGTCTTATTGTTCATCATGAATTTGGGGGGTTTTAATTAAAGGATGCAACTATAATAAAACAACTGCCTAGTAACTTTGACCTAAAGATTTTTTAATGTCAGCTTAACTAAGACCTACTGACTTGAACTGAGTGGTTAAGAGTGTAGGCTTTGGTATTGGTGTCACTAACTTTACAGTGACCTTGGCCAAGTCATTTAACTTTAATATGCCTACCTAACTTTCCTTTTCTTAAAATAGGGAAAATATTTGTACCTACTTCATAGTGTTGTTATAAGGGTTAAAAGAAACTATGTAACGTGTTTTTAGCATAGTGCCTATCACATAACAAATAGTCACTGAATAAACAGATGTCAGCAAATATTAATCATATATAGGTACATATACCTAGCTAATAGATAGTAACCTATCTAGCTGATTCTAAACATAAGAAAATCCCATAAGCTTAGTTCAGCCTGTTTTCCCCACTCTGGATTTTAGCCTAAAGGAGCATATTAAATCAGTGATCCCGAGCCTCGCTTATATATTAAAATATGCTGGTCCCCAGGCCATTTCCCCAGTCCAACCGAATCAGAGTTTCTTGGAATGGGGCAAAAGCATCCTGTATTTTGAAAGCTCCCCAGCTGAGTGCCTTGTGCAGCTAAAGTTGAACGCCACTGCCTGAGAGTATTTGTTGGAAGTCTTTTGGTTGTTGTTGTTCTTATTTTTTTAACCAAATCATGGAGGAGCTTTTAGAACAGCGCTTTCAGAATGAGTTATAGGTTAGGTCAGTGCTTCTCGAACCTGAGTTCACCCAGGGGTCTTCTTGTGGAATCGTCTGCAGTGGGCCTGCGGTCAGGCCTGAGCGTCTGCTTTTCTAACAAGCTCCCAGGTGATGTGGATGGTGCTTCTGGTCTGTCGACCAACTTGGGGTGGCAAGGGGTTAGGTAACCTTACTAAAGTGCTCGGAGCAACTTGGAAGAAATACTGCTTTTGTCATTATTGTTTATTCGGGAGGATGGACTCCAGGAGCTGATATTTTTAAAGAGACTATAAATGTGTTTTCAGACAAACCCGTAAACATGTACCTCCCGAGCTGTCTTTAATTATGATAACCTGACTCTTGGTTTGTCCTTTCAGGGCTCGGAAGCAGCCAGTAAAGGAGACTTTCTCTTCAGCAGTGATCACCTGATTGAAATGGCCACCAAGCTCTATCGGACGACTCTCAGCCAAACCAAACAGAAGCTCAATATTGAAATTTCTGATGAGTATGTTCATGAATTGTGTGAATATGCCTTCTTTTAACTTTATTTTTTTAGTTGAGCGATCTGATCTCATTCAGTTTTACAGCTACTACTTATTAAGTACCGAGTATGTGTCTGGCGTGTGTTCTAGATGATGGATGGGCAGCGAGTGACACTGACCAAGTCCCCACTTTCACGTACCTGACATCCTAGTGGAGGAGATGAAATAATACATAGGTGGTGTGACTTTGGTTAGTGTCAAGTGCTTGTGGAGAAAAAAAAGGCAGGTTAAAGGTCAGATGGTGTTAATTTTGATATGGAGATCAGGGAGGCCTCTTTGATGCAGTGACATTTGAATCGAAACTGGAATCTAAGGAGATGCCTTCCGGGGGAGGCAGCAGGTACAAAGGCCCTGAAGCAGGAGTGGATGTGGTGGCAGAGGGAAATGGGGAGGAAAGACCCTGGAGCAAGAGGCAGAGGGGCCCGGCTGTGTAGAGCTTGGTAGCTGAGGTCAGGAACTGAGATTTTGCTGCTGATGAAAAGTCACTGTGGATTATGGGCAAGAATGTGGCGTGATCCGATTTATGATTTTTGAAGAGCTGTCTGGCTGCAGGGTGGGGAATGACTGTTAGGGAGGCAAGAGTGAAAGCAGAGAAAATAGTTGGGAGCTTCTGTGAGCTCTTGAGGGTAAGGACGTTGAGGCTTAGGCTAGGGTGTGAGTAGGGGAAGTAGTGAGAAGTAGTCAGGTTCTGAGTGTGATTTGAAGGAAAACGAGAACTTATTAACATACTGGGTGTTAGGTTTTGGGCCTGAGCCTACATGGTACCATTTACTGCAGTAGCTGACACTGAAGAAAGGGGGGTTTGGGGGTGGCTGAGGTGTGGGGAGTCAGGAGTGCCGGCTTGGGATGTGTTAGGTACTTGAGATACCTTTTCTCACATGTAAACGAGAGTTATAGAGTAAGTGTTCCATGTTGACAACGGTTCACTAGTGTCAAGACGGCTATGAGTTTGAAATTTGCTTTTTTTGCTTCACATTAGGCCTCTGATTATGGAGACATGTGATTTGTATGCAGATTGGAGCATCCCTCCATTTATTAAATCGGTCAATATGAGATCATTGACATGAATTTTAGTTACTATGTGGATTGACACTTACTTGATTACTTTTTAATAGATTGTTTACTATCTGTGTATCTACTTCCTTGCACGCAGAGTAAAAATTTGCAACACCATATCGCTCAGGAAATGATTTTATTTACTAATGAAGATTTTGCCAGCCTATTCTATCTCAAGTCTTTATAAAAGTCTCTCTAAAATAAATTCATACCCATTCCTGTCCCCTTGTAAACCACACCAACTCTCCTTGATGTGTTAGGATTGACAGAACCTTAGGTTCATTGTCTGTTCTAAGAATGGTGTTTAGATGGGGCGCGGGGGTGTGGGAATATTGGCCTTTATGTATACTCTATATTGGAAAATGCAATTTACACAAAATAACTTTCCTTATGATTGAGTCCTTTCTCATAAAACAAAGAAATTAGGAAAAAAGATAAGGGCTTGTTGGGTTCCAGTCAATTAAGGTTTTAACCTGTGAGGGCTGTTAGATCTTTAAACTCTCTTTAGTTGAAATTTTTCATAACTCAGGAAACTACACTTCTTGTTTTGGTGGGACTGGTCATTCCCACTCATCGTGGAAAGATTCTATGTGTTCAGATGGAGAAGCTCCTTGATATATGGATGAAGCAGCCTCGCGTTTGGTCTGCTACATTATTAATAAGGCCATCTTTGCAGAGAAAATCGTGCCAACATCCAGACCACAAAGGATTGCTGCCTTTAAGCACTTCCCAAACTGGCATTCTGAGAACACTGCCTTTGCAGGATGTTAGTAGTGATGTGCTGTGAAGAAATGTACAGTCCTTCTTCACTATAGCACCTCCCAGAGCCTCTGCAGTCTTGTTGCACATTGTGACTCTCCTGAGGGGCTCCGGGGGGTGCCATGTGCTGTATCAACCACAGGACCCCTCCAGTGGCTCTCACAATTTCTGTTCGAGGCACATGATCTCAGAACACTGATGGGGATAGTTTGCTTCAGGGCGGCAGGGACCCTGCTTGTCACAGAAGAGGGATGTGATGTTCTAGCTGTGTAGGCTTTTAATAAACATGCTTGAGTGTGCGAAGATTCTGTGTGGCCACATGAAGAAAACAAACATTTAGTAGCATTATAAACCAGTCCAGAACACCTTTCCTTCCCCTATTCCTAATTATTGGTTGGTCTCATAAAAATAAAATAGCTGATGGAAGCTTGCCTAGCACCGTGGTCCCTTCCTGGGCAGTGCAGGAAGCCACGTGGCAGAGCAAGGCTCCCATGTAGCCTCTGATTCATAACCTCTGGGAGCTCTTAAGCAGGGATTATACTCCTTTTTGGAGAGCATTTTAAACAAAATTTTACAGGGTCCTGGGGAGGGGTGCCCATGACGTATTTTTGCAGACTATAGAGACCAGCATTGTAAACAGCATACTGTTCTGTGACCAGGACCTTCCTCAGTAGATCCTTTTCAGAAGTAGAAGTAGTTATTCGAACAAACCCAGTCTCCACAATCCCTATATGTCCGTTTATAGGAGGAAAGTCAAAGGCCTGTTACTTCCTTAGAGCAGTTCTAACCTGCACATGTAGAAGTGAGAATTGAATTCAGTGAGAGACTCAGCTGCCTTATAATCCCCAGTCCTTAAACTCCCAAACTATTCAATCTGTAAATAGATTGCGTTTTAAGGATAACCTTAAATAAGATCTATAGTATTTCTAAAAATGAATCTATAGTAATAGAAACTAAAGTGAATTTTTCTATTCAGTATTTTAAATATACATGTGTATATGCATACATGTATACACACATACATGTAATACACATACACATATATTATTTAAGTTATACAGTTGTTTTTCTGAATATTTCAAATCCAAACAACTAATCTATGTTCCTTTTACTGTGAAGTTCTGTTATTGGTGCTGTGAAATCATGCATCTGACATGATTATTTGCTGTAGGATGATTCTCTGATTCTCTGTCCTTACTGTGGGCCAGGCTTCAGTTTTCTCTTCTATGAAATAGAGATAAATAATTACCTCATAGGATTGTTTTAAAGTTGAGTTAATATGTGTAACTTACTAAGAACAGTGTGGTCCGTAGTAAATACTCGGTAAGGTTTAGTTACCGTTATTTCTAGAGTGAATCACGGTCATGAATTGCGAACACAGAGACAGCCAGTGTATGCTAAACTTATTGGGAAAAGAACTCCCCGTACATTTATTACTACAAGTGGTCTTTAAAAATTAAAATGTAAAAATATTTGATTATTTATGTTAAACTTGAAAGGTTTTGCTTTTCCTGAGGCACATAGATATAAGTATACATGCTGGAGAGAGATCTCAGGCGAATTTAGAACTAGAGCTTCTTTTTTAGTGCTTTCAAGTTGAAAAGAAACAGCCCATGTGAAAGCTCAGAAGTACCACTGATGAGTACAAACTTACGTGTCACGTTTCACTCCAGTAGCTAATGTTTGCAAAATGTGGCCTCTTTAGACCTTGAAACAGAGACTAACATGTACAGAGCAGAGCTGTCGTCGTGGGTGCCAGTGAGCATGTGACCCATCACATGGTTTTTAGAGTGACTCACTTAATTATATGCAGTAACTCAGAAAACAGTTCCCTGAGAAACATAACCAAAAGCATGGTAACATTACACTGATTCTGATGGTGGAGAGAAAAGAGCACAGGCCTTGAGCTGGGAAGGGCTGGGTTCTGGTTCAGCCATGCTGCCCTCATGCCTCCTTGGTGATGCCATCCTGGAGGGCAGAGACCTCAATTTATACATCTGGATGTCTGTCCCTCACAGCACCCAGACCAGGGGGAAGCCAGTCATATGTCTGTTGTAGGAAGGAGTGACAGATAATCTTGTGGGCCGGCACTTGATCCATGAAAGGAAAGATTTGAACTAGAATATGGTTTCCCACAGTGTACCACATATACCACTGGTAGCATAAGAGGTGGCTTTAGGTGTACACTGATAGATTTTTATGTATGTGTGGATATTAAAAATATAACTGGCAGATCAGACTCATGATTTCATCATTTTTATTCAGTAGGTCACAGCTATTTTGAAACATTTATTTAGTGTGTAGATATGAAAAAAGATGTGTAGGATGTATGTAAATATCCAACATTTGGAAACTGTAGTCTGGAGTGTCTCTAGACCCCTTTTCTTTGTTTTTAATTTATTTATTTAATTTATTTATTTTTGGCTGCATTGGGTCTTCGTTGCTGTGCGCGGGCTTTCTCTAGTTGTGGAGAGTGGGGTCTACTCTTCGTTGCGGTGCGCGGGCTTCTCATCGCGGTGGCTTCTCTTATTGTGGAGCACAGGCTCTAGAGCGCAGGCTCAGTAGTTGTGGCGCACGGGCTTAGTTGCTCCGCGGCGTGTGGGATCTTCCCGGACCAGGGCTCGAACCCGTGTCCCCTGCATTGGCAGGTGGATTCCCAACCACTGCACCACCAGGGAAGCCCTAGGCCCCTTTCCTGAAATTCTGTATTGCATTTTCTCAATTTGTTGATAATTTAATATTTTTGCTATGCAGAAATGGAGAAAAATAGCACGTTCATCTTTCCGTCTGAAACATGGAAATAATTATCCATAGCCCTTCTTACGGTATAGGAATATAATGAGCTAATGATCTTGAGTTTACTTAGGGCTAAATTATGGCCACTGGAAGCAAAATGCAGTGTAATACCTGTTGTTGTGATCCTGTGGCTAGAAGGGCTGATGGAAAGGGGAATACTTGTCAAGGTAAATATCCATTAAAAAACAAAAGCTGGTGTCAGTGTAATTAGCTGTTTAATGTGTACTTTTCTTCAGTTTGTCTTATTCTTTCCTCCTAGGTTCCTGGTGCAGTTCAGACAAGACAAAGTATGTGTGAAGTTTATTCAGGGCAACCAGAAAAATGGGAGTGTCCCAACATGCAAGCGAAAAAACAACCGTCTTCTTGAAGTCGCTGTCCCTTAACTGGCGCCTCCCCTCTGCTTCCATGGACTCGTTTCTTTGTAATAGTGCAATTTGGTTTTGCTTTGTTTGGGGTTCATTGTATGTTCGGGAATTGCCAAAGGTTAATACTGTTAGAGTCCCTTGGCAAAATAAAAATATTTTACTATTGGAATAGTTTTAACCCTTAAAGTACACATTCTGTCCTGGGACAAGATTGTAGAAACTAACAATATCTATGCCATGTCGTGCGTGTTCCTTGTTTAGTCATCATGTTAGATCTTTGTGCCCTAAAGCAACATATTACTCATAAATCATTAATACATCTAAGTGTAGGAAGCGGTCTTAACAGATAGTGGATCCGTTCATCAACTATTTATTGAATGCCTGCTCTGTGCTAGGCATTGTACTAGGTGATACGAAAACTTATTAGGAACCTTTTTTTGTTTTGTTTTAAGGCCATTGCATTCTGGCTGGTTTGTGCTGGCTGTACCAGGGCTAAGAGAGTTTGAAAATGTTGAGACCAAAACAGTAACTGTTGATGATGGACAGCATTTGTTAGGAACCCTGTAGTATGATCTTTAACAATATATACTTCAAGAAGGGCTGGTCCTAGGAAGTAGATACATTGATATATGACTCGGTAAAATTGCCTCTATGTGTGGTTTCTATTTGAAAAGAGAAAACTGACATTTGAACAGGACTTTTAAAGTGTTCAGATCTCTTGTGATTGCTTTTAACGGTAGAAAAGAGTCATTCTTATTTTAGAAAAAGTGACAGAAGCAGTCCAGTAAGGTTATATTTTCCTGTTTCTGGTAAACATCATATATGATCCTAGATATGCTGATATCTGCAGAGTGTTGTTTTCACCCAAATTACAGTGAAAGGCTGAAAGCCTTGCAGATGGTGGCAAGCATTCTATATGATGTGCAATAAACATCCGAGATCTTTTTTGAAAGTTTTATTTATAATATACATTTTGTATGAGAGAGGTGATTAGTACAGGGTACATATTTTAGTCAAGGATCAAAATGGTGTGTGTTAATTTGCAGGATTTTTCCCCCCCAAATTCACAGTAAGGATTCATTTTGGAAACTATATTTTAAACTTCGGAATCAAATCGTTTCTCATTTGGGAGGATAATGTATATACATTGGTATGTTAAATAATAAAACTGTTCGAATTTGGTGCCATTTCCTGGATCACAACTGTATTTTTGTATTTCAAGCTATTTTCTTACGTTGTATGTCAGTGTATTGTCGCACAGAAAGGCTTTACAAACCAAACGTTACGCGTTCTCTGTGTAATTGAATTTCACTTACCTTTTGTAAACCAGAAACATTCGTTGAAAGTATTTTCTGGGGATTTTCTTTTAACTTTTGTACTTTAAAAAGTTGCTCCCATAGAGAAATTCTCAGAAGCCTTTGTGTTTATTGGCTCAGGTAGAGGATATAATTACTTTCTTTGTCTTTTCCAACATGTATATAAAGTGGTAGATTGATGATTACTGAAATAGGTGAGTAGAAATTTGGAATTGAGAGGTGTTTTATTAAAATGTTTTAAAAAAATATGTAATACATTCACATTGTTCAACATACAAATAAATGTAAAAAGATAAATAATACAAATTCTCCATCCCATCAGTCACCCATCTGCTCAGTTCCTGTGCCTCCCTGCAAAGTTAACCATTGTTTTTAATTGGTTTTACTTTATGCATATGCTTACAAGAAGAAATAAAAATAGAGATTCTTATCTTCCTCCTGCTTTAGAAGACAAAAGCTATTATAGATATTGTTCTTTACTTTGCCTTTTTCGCTCTTCATTCTTTGTACCATATAGTCTTCCGTTGTATGGGTGCACTATAATGTATTTATCCAGTCCCCTACTGATCATCATTGGGTTATTTCCTGAACGGAAGTTCACAGGGGCACGGGTCACTGTTGGCCAGATCTGCCTGTGCTGCCCACCCACCCCCATGCCTGACTAGAGGTTACTGATAAGCTGTAATGTTGCCTACTACAGCCGGTGAGCATCCAGTACTTCTGTATCTTTGAATTTCTGTCACTGTCCTGCAGTGGCGAATTAAAGTATTGGTGGCACTCCAGATTTCCTATGTACCTTAGTGACACAGCCCTAACTTGTTCCCAACCACCACTTTGTTGCCCAGCCCCTGGAGTGGCTTGTAGATGTTGTGCTTGAAAAAAGTAACCAGGCAGTGAGGACCAACATCAGACCATGGTAGTCGCCAAGTTTGCAGTGCTGTTGATGCTGTTACCCTTGACTTTGACATCCATCTACCACAAGGCAAGAAGCGAACATGGGAAAGTTACTGTCTTAAAGACTGGTTACGGTTTTGTATTTCACACTCTTGGAATAATAACTTGGACCCAGTACTTAGATGTAAGACCTTCAGCTGTAGTTTGAGTACCTTTGCTCATACCCCAGGGGTTACAGGTATGTCTGTAATGGCAAAGTACCAGGGCCAAGGGTTCTGAGAATGAAGGACATCCTTAGTATTGAAGATTTGGCTGAAATCTAAGAGAATAAACAGTTTTATTATCATGTCATTTCAATAATATGCTGAGTGAGAACTCTCAAGTTCATGTAACTGAGTGTAATTATGATAATTACAGCATGGTTTAAAATTCTTTGAGGCTAAATATAATAGACAGCAGCTTTTTTGTCTGTTTGTTTTTATTCGCTATTTTTCATGTACTAGGTAAGGTAATTTAGGCCCTAAAATATTCAAATAAGAAGCACTTTTTAAAATGGTGTATGTTGCTGGTAAATTCCGTAATGGTCTATTATATTAGGCTTTTGCCCAAAGGCATTGTAGTAAGAGCCTTTGTTTTTAAGCTGGTCATTGTTTTTCCATTAATACTGCAGTACTCAAATTCACAAAAAAGTGCAGTGGAACGAAGGGCAGTAGTTCTGCTTTTCTTTCCTCCTGGTAAGAGTAGCAGCTGTGAGTTTTCATTGTCCGTTTGAAGAGTCAGTGTTGAGGAGCTGAGGTGCTCTTTCTTTGGATATCATTTTAACAATTCCCATTCTGTGCGCTGTCATTCTCAGGGCTTGCTTAGCTAAACCCTAGGAAGCTGCGGCCTTGACCAGCTAGCCCTTGCTTTCTGGTCTCATCAGCTTCTATTCCAATAGCCACTCAGTAGAAAATTAGTTTTTTGGTTGTTTTCTTCCAAATCTTGGAATCATTTGCTTCGTTCTCTCTGGTTTGAAGATCATTAAAAAAAAAAATCTGGAGCTAATCACAGTACAGCGTGAACCACAATCTCTTCCTCATTAACTTTTTTTTTGCTGCCATGGTGGCCAGATCCCTCTGCTCAGTTACATAAAATTCAACAAAAATCTGAGTTTGTAAGGAAAATAGTCTCAGCTTCTCAGCGTTTAAGGAGGAAACTGGGAACAGAATTTAATTCCATGTTCACCAAAAGGCCTGGCAGTACTGAGAGAAAGAAATATCAATAGATCAGCCAGCTTACCTTATCATTTCACTTAGTTTTTTAATGTTTTTTTTTAATCCAGTTTTGAGACATAATTGACATTTAGTTTTAGGTATACAACATAATGATTTGCTGTGGGTGCATTATTGTGAAATGATTATCACAATAAGTTTAATTAACATCCATCACCTCTCATAGTTAATTTTTGTGATGAGGATTTTTAAGGGTACTCTCTTAGGTCATTTCACTTATACTCATCGCAGCTTTTTTCTTTTTTCTTTTCCTTTCTTTCTTTCTCTCACCAATTAATGGATCTGGCATATTCTCTTTTAAAATATTTTTGTTTAACGACATACACATCAGAAATGTACACAAACCAGAAATGGACCTATCAAAGAATTTTTACAGAGTGAACACATCCATGTAACTAGCACGGAAAAAAGAAGCACCCCAAAGATAGCACCCAGGAGCCCCCTTCTCCATCCCAGACATAATTCCTTATAAAAGTAACTTTTCTCTTGTTTTCTAGTACTATATATTAATTTTGCCCTTTTGTTTTACTTCCTATAAGTAGAATCATCCAGTATATACTCCTCCTTCTGGCCTCTTTCATTCAAACTGCTTCAAATTTTGGATTTTGATCTTTTCCTGGGCTAGCAATATGATACTCTCGTGATGGTGGCCAGTGGCTGCAGCCGCAGCTCCCAGTCAGCTCCGTGATCACAAGGGGAAACAGCTGATACACTTACAACCATTCTGTACCCATATAACCTTCGGTTTTTCACTTGCAGTATAGTATTCAATAAATCACATGAGATATTCAACATTTATTATAAAACAGGCTTTGTGTTAGGTGATGTTGCCCAACTGTAGGCTAATGTAAGTGTTCTGAGCATGTTTAAGGTAGTCCAAGCTATGCTATGATGTTCCATAGATTAGGTGTATTAGATGCATTTTCTACTTGTGATATGTTCAACTTACAATGGGTTTATCAGGAACGTAACCCCATCGTAAGCTGAGGAAGATCTGTAATTGTGAAATTCATTCATATTATTGCATGTAGCTAAAGTTTGTTCTCCTGGCTGCGTAATACTTCATCATGTGGGTAGATGGCACTTTTGTAATCCACATTGCTGTTGATGGGCATTTGGCTATTGTGCATAGTGCTTCTGCGAACATTCTTGTGCACATCATTTGGTGAATATCTGTACACATTTCTGCTGGATATACACCTAGGGATAGAGCTGCTGGGTCATAGGGTAAGATATGTTCAGCTTTAGTAGATTCCATCAAACTGACTTCCAAAGAATCTACCAGTTTACACTCACCCCAGCAGTGTATGGGGTCACAGTTGCCACACCTGGTATTGTCAGTCGTTTTCATTTTGACCCTTCTGATGGCTCTTTAATTTGCATTTTCCTGGTGACTAATGAGCTCAAGTACCTTTTCAATATTGGCCATTTGCTTATCATCTCTTGTGAAGTGCCTATTCAAGTATTTTGCCGTTTTTTCTGTTGGGGTTGTCTGTCTTTGATTTGCACGTGTGTTTTGGATATGAGACCTTTATTGGATGTGTGTGAGGTCAGCATCTTCTCACAGTCTGGTTTCCTTTCTACTCTCTTACCAGTGTCTTTTGATGAATAGACATTCCACTTTAGTGTAGTCCAGTTTGCCGATTCTTTCCTTTATGGTTGGTACTTTTTAGTTTCCAGTTTACAAAATATTTGTTTACCCAAGGTTATGAATAGATTTGCCTATGATTTCTTTTAGAAGCTTTATTGTTTTGCCTTTCACATTTAGCTCTTTAGTTTACTGGAAGTTTTGTTTGTTTTTGTTTTTGAATGGTGTGAGCTAGGGAGTCAAGATTCATTTTTTTTCCATATGGATACCCAGTGGACCCGGCACCTTTCATTGAAAAGGTCATCCTTGCCCTACTGCACTGTTTATTCTCTGTTCTATTACATTGATTATGTATCTTTGTGTCAATAGTAAACTGTGTCAGTTATTATAGCTTTGTGACATGTTGGCATAGTCACTTAGAAGGGAAATTCATAACTCTTAGAGGTCCTACCTTCTTGTGATAGGAGGGGGAAAAGCATTAAAACTAATAAATACACATTTTCAGGTATTTTGAGTAGTGATAGAGTTCTAAAAATTTGGACTTCTAAAATTAGCCCTTCACTAGCCACAGGGATTGGGCATGGGAGTTCCTAATGGGATTATATGGGGAAAATATTCAAGGTTTCCTTGAAGTAAATTAACAACTTCTAATTTTATGTGATATTTTGCTTTTCCATTAACTCATCGGTTCCTATCCATATTACTAATCATCCCCATTTACAATTTTCCATAAAGTCTTCATAAAATTATCATGTAAGTGCATGTGAGTATTTTCTTTTGTTTCTAGGTGTTTCCCTCTTCGATTAAGTTCTTTGATGGTAGATAATGAGAGACCTCTGAGGGTTTTTCTAGTTCTTTAACTATCTTCTACAATATTTTTTCAGTCTTTTACAACAGCTTACATTGTACAGTGATAATAGAGATAGATAGTATCTATCTATAGAAATAGATAATATTTGTAGATGAGTCCAGGTGGTGCTGCAGGTGGATTCCACATCTGTGGCTTCTCTGGTACTCCCACACTTTTTTTAATTAGAAAAAAGTGATTTTTCTAAATCATTTCCTAGTAATCACCCAATCCATTCTCTTATGTGCAGTTCTGAGCCAGTTAAATTCAGAATCGCCTTCTCTAAAATGATCACTGCAAACTCAGCTTTCCTGAGGTCGAGATTTTAATTGACAGAGTGGAGCAGTAAAGGCATATGGATCCTTTTTTTTTTTCCCCACGAGGGGCAAATTGTAGGCAAACAAAAACATGTTTAATATTGATTTTATATGCAACAATAATAATTTCCCAGAAAGGTACGCATATCTGTAAGTCAAATAAGGAAGAAGTTTGTATGGGTCTCAGCTCATACACAGAAGGGAGTTGTTGAGGCACTGCATAGAAGAAAATAAAACTTTCGTCCATTTAGAAACCTGAAAGTAGTCCTTCAGCTACAAGGTCATCTTCATTGTTTATTCAGTAATATAATGTATATGGTAATATTGCCATTCTATTGTCTCTTAGAATATATTCTATCTTCTGAAAGGGGATAGTGTTATATTTAAGTAGAGTAATTATAATGACTCATTCTCCTTGTTATAGCCCCTAAAAATGACCTGAAATTAATTTCCTAAAGTTTGAAAACCGTTTTTAGAATAAAGCTCACGGAAGATAGAACTGTATCTATTAGATAGGACTCAGCACCATTTTATTCAGTTGAAACTACTGAATACTTTTTTGATGGGGGAAATCAGTAAGTTTCTATTCAGATGTCCCAGCTGGCATTTTTGAGATTCAAGTTCAAAAAGGGCTTGACAAGTTTAATGCTGCCCAGGCATACAATTTACTCA